TTTCAGGTAGCTCATGAAAAAACTTAAGTGCATAAAGTTCACCAAGCAATTCATTTACATTTTAACCTTATATGTGGCTAATTACTAAACTAAAAAGTCCCTTAACTTAATACCATTACTAGCTAATTATCTAATTAGAAGGTTAAGTGTTTAATAGTTCCCTGTGATGTTTAATTTCCAACCACTTATTTTCTTTAGGATGTAACAGAAGTTAGTTCCCCCATCTGGGTTTGTACTCCCACCCACAGTATCAGCCCCACAGCTACAGAACGAGTCAGAGCCCATCTTTGCAGCCCACCCCAGATAGAAATAGCTCTTCTTTGTAAATAGTTAATGAGCTCATTCATCCATATTGCACATCTCTGTGGCCTGGCTTTCACCCTGAGCTGGCACATCAGTCTGTGGTTTTGTATGATTCTGTCCACTCACCCCACTCCCACCTCTGAGACTAAAGATGATGGGCATTAATTTGACTCCACATCCCGAACCCTTCTGTCAACCACAGGATGCTCAGTTCCATCACACACACACATGCTAGACTATAGACTTAATTGGCAAAAACTAACATCCCTCTTGGCTTCTCTGTGTCTCAGTATCTCCAGAGATGAGAACAGAATACTGACAGTGAGGCAGAAAAGCAGCCTGGATCATCTTCCTTTCTGGGCTGGCCTCAATTACAGGCTGGCTACTGGGTTCTGGGATTGTGTGTGCAGGTGCCAAGAAATGTTAATGACACCGATGCATTCATCACAGCTCGGTGGCAGCTGCACACCTACCTAACATTCTCCTCTTCTAACTTCCAAGCAGAGCCCTGATTTTATTTGGAGAGGCAATGTGACTGAACAAAAGACTATCTTTCTCAACCTCCAACGCAGGTCGGAGGAAATATAATGACGTAGAAGCAGAAGTCACTTGGTGAGACTTATGGGGGCCTCTCTCAAGGGACTGACTCATCCAAGAGGTTGGTGCCAATTTTAGTTTGGGTTCCCCAGAAGCAGATCCTGAAGCAAAGTTTCCAGTACCAGTAGTTTATTTGGGAAGTGAGCCCAAATAAACTTTTTGTCCTTACCAGGTGAGCTCTGGTGAGGGAATGGGGAAGGAAGCCTATATAGTGTTTCACTCAGCTAGTTACCACTATGGGCAACTGGGGCTCAGCCCTCCTAGGACCCTTTGGGAGACAGCACAGAACATGACTCAGTTGACCTCCCCTTTCTCCCCCACAAGGGAAGGAAGGTGGGGTACCCTCTAATTCTCTCTGTCCTGAGAACATCAACTCCCCTACACTTGAGCCTGTCCTGCCTATGAGCTGGACATTCTAGAGAAGGTCCCCGAGTTGAAGTATTGGCAACCACAGGAGCAGTGAGCCACACATTAAAGATTGAACAATTGACCTGCAGAAGGATCCTCAGTCCCTGAAGTCCACAGAGCTCCCATATTATCCAAGAACTACCTCCCTCTGGAATTGTATCATATGACAGAAACCAACCCTCACATTTAGTTAACCCATTGTAATCAGCTCTGTTACTAGAAGCACTTCACAATTTATGATGCTCTTCTTTCATTCCTGACATCCTCCATTTCATGATAACCTTATGAGGCAGGCAGGACAGTTATTATTGTCTCCATTCTGCAGATGACAAGGCTGAAGCTCAGAGAAGTAAAGAATGGGAAGTTAACAAAAGCTCCTATCTAGATTCTGTCTTCCTCGTATAGGTATACCTTTGAGATATTGTGGTTCCAGACCACCACAATAAAGTGAATATCACAATAAAGTGAGTCGCATGAGGTTTTTGGTTTTCCTGGTGGATATAAAGTTATGTTTATACAATACTGCAGTCTACTAAATGTGCGATAGTATTATATCTAAAAATATACACATCTTAATTTAAAAGTACTTTATTGCTAAAAAATGCTAATCATCATCGGAGCCTTCAGCGAGTCATAGTCTTTTTGCTGTTTTTGTCTTTTTGGAGGGTTTTGCCTTGATGTTGATGGTGGTTGTTGAAGGTTGGGTGGCTGTGGAAATTTCTTAAAATAAGACAACAGTGAAGTTTGCCCCATTGATTGACTCTTCCTTTCACCAACGATTTCTTGTAACATGTGATGTTGTGTGACAGCAATTTACCCACAGTAGTTCTTTCAAAATTGGAGTCGATCTTCTCAAACCCTGCTGCTGCTTTGTCAACTAAGTTTATGTAATATTTTAAATGTTTTGTTGTCATTTCAACAATCTTCACAGCATCTTCACCAAGATGCCATCTTAAGAAACTACTTTCTTTGCTCATCCATAAGAAGCAACTTCTCATTCGGTAAAGTTTTATCCTGAGATTGCGGCAGTTCAGTCACACCCCTGGCTCCACTTCTAATTCTAGTTCTCTGCTGTTTCCACCACAACTACAGTTGCTTCCCCCACTGAATTCTTGAACCCCACAAAGTCTTCCATGAAGGTTGGAATCAGCTTCTTCCAAATTCCAATTAATGTTAATATTTTGACCTCTTTTCTTGATTCGCAAATGTTCCTATTGGCATGTAGAATGATGAATCCTTTCCAGAAGATTTTCAATTTACTTTGCCCAGATCAATCAGAGGAATCACTATCTATGGCAACTATAGCCTTATGAAATGTATTTCTTAAATAATAAGACCTAAAAGTCAAAATACCCCTCGATCTTTGGGCTACAGAATAGATGTGTGTTAGTAGGTATAAAAATAACATTAATCTTGCACATCTCCATCACAGTTGTTGGGTTATCAGGTGCATTGTTGATGAGCATTATTATTTTGAAAGGATTCTTTTTTTTTTTTCCTCCTGAATTGTATTTCTTAATGATGTGCTTAAAATATTCAGTAAACCATGTTTTTAAATAGATGTGTTGCCGTCCAGGCTTTGTTGTTTATAGAGCACAGGTAGAGCAGATTTAGCATAATTCTTAAAGTCCCTAGGATTTTCAGAATGGTAAATGAGCATTGGCTTCAAGTTAAAGTCACCAGCTGCAAAAGCTCCGAATAAGAATCAGTCTGTCCTTTGAAAATTAGAGGCCAAGCATTGACTTCTCTTTTGCTAGGAAAGTCCTAGATGGCATCTTCCAATATAAGGCTGTTTCATCTACATCGAAGATCTGTTGTTTAGTGTAGCCACTTTCATTAATGATCTTAGCTAGGTCTTCTGGATAATTTGCTACAACTTTTACATCAGTGCTTGCAGCTTCACCTTGCACTTTTATGTTATAGAGAAAGCGCCTTTCCTTAACTTCATAAATGAACCTCTACTGGCTTCAGATTTTTCTTCTGCAGCTTCCTTACCTCTCTCAGTTTTCATAGAATTAAAGAGAGTTAGAGCCTTGCTCTCTAGATTAGGCTTTGGCTTAAGAGATGTTGTGGCTGGTTTGATCTTCTACTCAAATCACTAAAACTTTCTCTGTATCAGTAAAAGGCATGTTTTGCTTTTTTATCATTCACTGGTAACACTTTTTAGTTTCCTACAAGAACTTTTTCTTTGCATTCACAACTTGGCTAACTCTTTGGTGTAAGAGCACTAGCTTTCTGCCTCTCTTGGCTTTCAACATGCCTTCCTCACTAAGCTTAATCATATCTAGCTTTTGTTCTAAAGTGAGAGATATGCGACTCTTCCTTTCACTTGAACATTATAGAATTATTAATTGGCCTAATTTCATTATTGTGTCTCAGAGAATAGGGAAACCTGAGGAGAGGAAGAGAGATGAGGGAACAGCTGGTCACTGAAGCAGTCAGCACGCACACAACTTTTATCGATTAAGTTTGCTATTTCATATGGGTGTGGTTTGTAGCACCCCAAAAATAATTACAACAGTAACATCAAAGATCACTGATCACAGATCACCATAACAAATGTAATAGTAATGGAAAACATTGAAATAATGTGAGAATCACCAAGATGTGATACAGAGACACAAAATGAGCAAATGATATTGGAAAAATGATGCAGATAATTTGTTCAAGTTAGGGTTGCCATAAACCTTCAATTTGTAAAAAACACAACATCTGCAAAGCACTATAAAGTGGAGTGTGATAAAATCATGCCTGTATTAATTACTCAGGTTCAGCTTAGGGGTAAGAAAAATGACTCCAGCAACTGAAATGTTTGTGTTTCTTAAGTGTTTCTCATACTTTATCTCTTTAGAGATAACCCCATTTAAAGAGATTTTTATTTCAATGTTATAGATGGAGCAAAAGCCTCAGAGAAGTGAGGTCTTTTCTCCCTGGCTGTTTGAAGGTCTGCCGCCATCATGAACGAAACAATAATTATCTGGACCAAGAAGTTCATGACCAATAGACTACTTCAACGGGAAAAAAAATGCTCGTCGCCATCCTTCATCCTGAAAAGGCAACAACACCTAAGACAGAAATTCGGAGAAAACTAGCCAAAATGTACAGGACCACACCAGATATCATCTTTGTATTTGGATTCCAAACCCATTTTGGTGGTGGCAAGACAACTGGCTTTGGCATGATTCATGATTACTTGGATGATGCAAAGAAAAATGAACTCAAACATAGACTTGCCAAACATGGTCTGTATGAGAAGAAAAAGACCTCAAGAAAACCGCGAAAGGGATGCAAGAACTGAATGAAAAAAGTTAGGGGGACTGCAAAGGCCAATGTTGGTGCTGGCAAGAGTGAGGTAGAGACTGGACAACAGCAGGAGTAAAGATTCGTCAATGACTTTATCTGTGGTGATTGAGCAGATTTTTCACGAGAGGATTAATAAACTAAGAACTTAGAAAAAAGTCTCAGAGAGGTGAGATCACTAGTTCATGGCAAAGCTGGGATTAGAACCCAGGTCTTCTGTTTTCTCCCCTCACCAGAAATTCAGAGACCAAACCACCAGCCATAAAACTTACAGGAACTCTGTCTACCCGTGCTGCCCACACCCCTAATTTCACTGAGCACAATGACATGACACCGAACACACATCAAAAACACTGGGGGAGCTTTGCAAACACTGATCTTTGGGAGTGCACTCAAGATCTCCTGGAGGGAGGATACAAACTCCTCAGAGAATTCCAGTGTGCCACCAGGGCTGGGAAACACTGACGTGGTGTTCGAAGTCAGAACAGTTGGGTTTTGTGCCTTGCCCACCCACAGTCTGCCCAGAGCTGTACTGAGGCTAAAAGGAGCTAGCTGCTGTGAACATGCTTGGGAAAGTCTAGTTGTCAGACAAGTGTTTGATGTCATTCTGGTGGCCGCCACCACCAGCCCTGATCCCAAGTCCCAGACACTCCTCCTCCCCAAACCCTCCCTCTTTAAGCCTTCTTTGGTGTTTTTCTGGTGTGAAATAAACGATATCCCCATGCCCACGTCCAAACTAACTAAACATATACAATTAACAAGGGGCTGGTTCTCCCTTACTAGAGGAGGAAAAAAGTAGCATTTCAGAAGAAAGACAGACCTGATACACACTAATCCCTTTACTCCTGCTAATTATTTCTGTCCTCGGAGATGTCTCTAACCAGAGCTTTTTGAGAATGATGAAGAAATGACAAGTAGAGAAATTAGCCAACACTGAACAAATGTGCTGGAGGTTTTTGAATCTGAGCAGTGTCATCTTCTTGTGCATAGCAAGAGGGCAGGATGAGAAGGCAGTGATATGATTTGAGACACTCTTGGAAGACACTCCTGAAAAAGAAGATCCCTCCTATACACAGACCTGCTATGGGGTTTGAAATTCTACTGTTAGAGATTCACTTGTTTGGGTCTTTCAGAGTTTCCAATTGAAATACAAAAATTTCTGAAAGGGGTTACACCTTATACTCTTAAAACTATCAGATCATTTTCCTGGTTTACGTTCTTGGGGTAAGGCTTTGAAGAATGGAGCCACAAGAGGCAGCCTGGAGAACAGCAACAAGGACAGTGGGCCAAGAAGGGAAAGTGGGCAGGCTCCTAATAACAATAAGTACTTACATGTATCCAGTATTTCATAGTTGACTATAAAAGATCACTTTCAAATACATAATCTATTTCAGTCCACACTAAAATCTATGAAATATGCAGAAAGAAATCTCTGTTCCCACTTTATAGGTGAGAAAATGGAGTCCAAAAGCAATGAAATGATTTGCCTGTGGTCCCAGGACTAGTAAATGGTACAAACTCAGGTTCTGGAGGTGCCAGCTGCCTCCTTATCTTTCTCTGTATTACTGGGAGTATATTGTACCTTGCTTTTTAGAAAAACTACATTTCCCAGCCTCCCTTGAGACAGGTGTGGCCAATCAAAGATAAGAGAAAGTTACTGGGTAGAGCTTCTGACACTCCTCTCCCTTTTGCCCTTTTGCCCTTCTGATTTTTGTCTTTCTTGCTGTGTAGAAAGGAGACGTGATAACCAAAGCTCCAGCAGTTATTTTACACCATGAGATGACCTTAAGGACAGAACTTGTGCCGAGGATGGCAGAGCAGAAAGATAGAATGGGTGGGGCCCCTGGTGACCATGATGCCCAGAAAACTAGATCTAAACTCTCTTCCACTGGATTTCATCTACATGAGAGACATATAAACCCTGAGTTTAAGTTACATTAGGTTGAGTTTTCATCCCAACTGCCACTCTGGACTACTCTCTGGGATGCCTCTAACAACTTCACAATGGCTCACCTGAAGAGGCGCTGAACCCCCAAATCCTCACCTTGACCATATCTTCTGCTAGCTGGTCCCAGGGGACTATTTCTGGGTGAAACTCAAGGTTCTCCCTGGCACCCCTGTTCCCTTTTGCTCCCACACTGCTTAAAATGTGGAGAAGCAAGTAAAGCTGAAAGAGAAAATCTCATCAAACTTCCAGTGGCTTACCCCATTCTTTCTAGAAAGAGAAATTATAATTGATGTCCTCAGCCCAAGTCTCCAGCCTTAACAAAACCTCTGGGAGGTGTGAGATGTGCCTCCCAGCATGGTACCTGGATTTGGGAGACCACATCTCTAGTCTATTCTGTGGAACCTTGGAAAATCTACTCAATTAATTTGAGGCTTAGTTTTACTATCTATAAAGTGGGCATGATATTTGTCCTGTTAATCCCTACTTGTGGATGTCAGGTTTCAATAGTCAAATGGCATGAAATAAATTTAAAAATATTTAGAAAAATAAAATCCAAGGCAGGCTAGTTTTGATTTTGGTTCCAATCAGGGAAATGCTGAGGGGCTTTTCCCTCCACTCATCCCAGTTTCCTTCTTTATAATTCTTTCTTCCTCTGCCTATGTGAGCTCAACCCATCCTTGCAGGAGAAGCTGGACTATCTGAGGAAGCAGCTGAGTCAAAGAAACGTGCCTGCACAGGTGGATGTTCTGTATCCGGCATGACCCCTCCCTTTAAGGAACACCTATTCCTACAAGTCTCTCCCCATATCAACAAGATTCCAGATTCATCAGTAAATTTCCCTTCACTCCGTGGTGAAAATGGCTGTATTTTCATGGGAAGAGAGTATATTTCTACTGAAGTGTTGATTAATAAGATCCTGACAGGGTTGGAACTGGCTGAATCTGCCTTCTTATCCTTTTCCCAGACGGGAGACAGGACAATAAAATGTCCCCCCAAAATCCCTTGTCCTGCAACACTCCATAGGGTGGTTCAGTCTCCCCAGGATAGGGGGAATGTCTGACAATCATGGAAGAATATGATATGAAAACTGGGACCCACCAATAGAGCAGGGAGACATGGAATGGCTGCGGTCTCCCTTCGCCTTAGGGTCTCTCTTCTC